TGTGACTAACATTTCCCTGTCTGACCGTGTTGAGAATATTTTCACGCATGCACTTGCCATTCCGATGCGTCTGTGGTCAGGAGCCGGTTCAAACCTTTGCCCATTTTTGTTTTTCTCACTTTTGAGTTTTGAGAATTCTCTGTAAGTTCTACCTGGAAACGCTTTCAAGGAGGTTGGGGAAGTGGAAGGGCTCCACATTCCTTGTCTCTAGGGGGCTCAGCACCTTCCTTCTCTGATGATGGTGTCTTGAAAGCCACCATTTTATGTACTGTGCCTGTTTTACTGCGGTTATTTTGGACAGGAGGGTGAACACGTGGCTCTTGCTATTCCACGCTGGCCTGAAGCCCCTTCTCATGGGGCCAGTGGACACATGCATCACCCGTTTCTCAGTTGAGGGGACAGAGCTCCGGAGTCTGGAGTGGCTTGGCTGCTGTCACACCGCACATCTGCGGTGGCGTCGGCAGTGGCTGGGCCGGCGCTGTGTAGCAAGCACATAAGCGGGTGACGTCAGTCTGCCCAGCTCCAGGCCTGGTCCTGCAGCCAGACACCCTCAGACTTCTGGGCCTGGCTCCGGCCTCCCTGGCTGCTTGAACTTTCTGAGTCTGGAATGCATCTAAGATCTGGGATTGGCCGGAGAGGGGACGTCCATCCAGAGGGCTGTGGCCCTGGAGACCCAGTGCAAAGGAACCTGAGTCTCAGTTGTCTAATCTGCCTACTGAAAATATTACCTACCCCGCCTGGACCTGCTCAGTAATTGCTACAATCAAGTGCAACCACAAAACCACTCGATCTACTCAATACCACTTCTACAGCAGGGTGCAGAAATCTTAGATGCACCTGTCACCACTTACTTTGCCTGCGCCCAAGGCAGACATCACTAATCAATGATGGAACTCTTTCTGCTGAGCTAGTCAATCTTAAAATCCAATCTTTTTGAAATCAGACACTCAATTGATTGGACTGGCACCTTGGAGGAGGCCCATCTGTATTCCTGCTCCTCTGTAGGGCACACATGTCTCCCAGTCTCCTAGGGCCCTGGGTTTCCTTATCATCCCGCTACAGTGCCCAAGACTGTCCTGCACATGGCAAAGAGGCCCACTGTGCAGCCAGCGTTCTCCATACCTCACATTCTTCCCACTGGGGACTTAGCGCCCATGCATCCCAGCCTTCTAGAGATGCTGGGGTCCTCCGAGGACAAAGCGAGGACAGTGGTCACGTCCCTTCCTACTCTGGGGCAGTGTCTCCAGTGCCTGACCTGGCACATAGGACTTGAGTTCTGGTTCAATTTGTGACTGCCCCTGGTCAGTCTTTACCTTAAAATGAAGAATCTGTACTTGAAAAAAATACCCTGTGCATGATTTTTTTAAAGATTTATTTATTTGAAAGAGTTACACAGAGAGGCAAAGAGAGAGGAAGAGAGAGAGAGAGAGGGAGAGGTCTTCAAGCCACTGGTTCACTTCCCAAATGGCTGCGACAACCAGAGCTATGCCGATCCAAAGCCAGGAACCAAGAGCTTCTTCTGGGTCTCCCACGTGGGTGCAGGGGTCCAAGCACCTGGTCCATCTTCTACTGCTTTCCCAGGCCATAGAGAGAGCTGGATCGGAAGTGGAGCGGCCAGGTCTCGAACCAGCACCTATATTGGATGCCGGCACTACAGGCAACAGCTTTACCCGCTATGCCACAGCACTGGACCCCTGTATATGATCTGTTAAAAAGACAGTAGAGGAGGGAGAGGGCTGGCCTTGTGGCACAGAGGGTTAAGCCACTGCCTGTGACAACGATGTCCCATATCAGAGTTGCCCCACTTCTGATCCAGCTCCCTGCTAATGTGTCTGGGAAAGCAGCAGAGGACGGCCAAGTGCTTGGGCCCCTGCACTCACATGGGAGACCCAGAAGAAGCTCCTGGCTCCTGGCTTCATCCTAGTCCAGCTCCGGCTGTTGTGGCCATCTGGGGAGTGAGCCAGCAGTTGGAAGACCTCTCTCTGTCTCTGTGTCCTGCTCTCCCCCTGCAGCCGCCCCTTTGGGCCTGCTGTGTTGGGACAGCTTCTCTCCAAAGAAACCCACAAGGCACTGTCCAGAGCAGAGCTCTGAGTATAAATCCAAGTCACGGCTGTGCCCTCGAGGTGGGGGAGGGAGCCGGAGGGCTGGGTGTGCCGCCTGCCGTCCAGCGTCCATCTGCCCTCATCTGCCTGCACCTGCAGGAGATGCCGAGCTCCCTCGAGGAACCAGTGGCCTTGCGGGTGAGATTCATCCCCAGGCGGTCTCCTTCAGTCTTTGCCCAGCTGAGGGGCCCCACGGAGCCAGGCCTGCAGCGGGGGTGGCGCCTGCCCTCTGAATGTGTCCTTCGTGACCCAGCTTTCTTTGTGAAGCCTTCCTGGTGAACCGCATGCCAGAGCGCACGTGATCCTCCGCAGGCCTGTGTCCAGGCCCCGTGAACAGTATCACGCATGGATGTTCGGGGCTCCCTTCCCACCCCTCCCTGCCCCTTGCTAGCCTTCTTCCCCCGATGCTTCCATTGCATCCTCTGAGAAAGGGGATCAAATCCATAAAGACCTGTGTCGTGCTGAGAACGGTGTCAGGTGTGCGGTAAGGGCTACGTGTTAGCTCCCGTCCCAAAGCCAGCAGGTCCCTTCCACAGGGTGTTGGGACAGCCACCTCTCCTCCTTCTCGGAGCCCTCAGGCCCTGGGGCTTGGGTGGGACTGACTCTGCCCCTTGGTGGCCAGGTGATGTGGAGAGGGTCAGTCCATGCAGCTCTCTCCCTGTCACCCATGTTGGTCTGGTTGAAGGTGTCTGGCCCAGCCTGGGGCCGTGAGCGCCAGCCCTGGGGTGTTTTTTTTTTCTTTTGACAGGCAGAGTGGACAGTGAGAGGGAGAGACAGAGAGAAAGGTCTTCCTTTTCCGTTGGTTCACCCTCCAATGGCCGCTGCGGCCAGCGCACTGCGCTGATCCGAAGCCAGGAGCCAGGTGCTTCTCCTGGTCTCCCATGCCAGTGCAGGGCCCAAGGACTTGGCCCATCCTCCACTGCCCTCCCAGGCCACAGCAGAGAGCTGGCCTGGAAGAGGGACACCGGGACAGAATCCGGTGCCCTGACCAGGACTAGAACCTGGGGTGCCGGCCGGCGCCACAGGCGGAGGATTAACCTATTGAGCTGTGGCGCCTGCCAGCCCTGGGGTTTTGCTGGCAGGTGTTCTTGTCTAAGGACTTGAACCCTGAGCTTCCTCGGAGTCTCTGTGTAGCCTACAGGAAAAGGGAAAGCAGAGCGAGAGAGGTGTGAACCCCTGGATCCAGCCGTGCCAGACTTTGTCCATGAATTTGCTGGGCCCCCTAAGCTGCCTGAGTTGGCTTTTCTGCCACAGACAGCCGGATGGGCCCTGACGAGGACTGGCTGGGACTTCAGTCGCTGTGGCTTTTCTGTCTGTGCCGCCTCAGAGCTGGGGACCATGAGACAGTTCACCACCTGCAGTGAAGTGCGAGCCCCGGGGACATGTCACACCCTGGGGGCGCAGGGACGGAGTGGACAGGGACCCTGCCCTGGAGCAGCTCACAGCCTCATTAACCAGCAGCTGTCGGATGTGCCATCAATGTCCATGGTGGGATCTGTGGGGGCACAGGGGAAGGGGCACACACCACGGTTCCCGGGGTGCAGAGGGGGAAGGCAACACAGACACTGGGGACATGTGAGGGACACCACGGTTCATCGCGCAGGGATTGTCTGATTCAAACTCAGGCTCCTCCTCTGGGAGGTGGGCACCCACCTGCTGGATTTATTGAGGGGATTTGACATGGTTGACGGAGGAGTGGTGACTCAGACAGGGCAGGCTTAGTCGGCGCTGGTCTCTTCCTGTTACTGTGTGAGGTGCGCACCCTGCAGGGGGCACAAGGGTAGTAGGAGCGGCTCAGCCACAGAGGGGCTGGTGTGCAGGGTTCAGGGCTGCGGAACACAGGTGGGGGTTCCAGGCGGCGGGGTCCGCGCGGGCGGCAGTGCGGGACGTGCGCACCGAGTGTAGCTGCCTGGGGTCGGGAAGACTTGAGGTAGAGGGAGGGGGATTGTAAGAGTCTTGCTGTCGGGGGCTGGGCTGTGGCAGTGGGTTAAACTGCCATCTGCCATGCCAGCATCCCACGTGGGCACGGGTTCAAGTCCCGGCTGCTCCACTTCCAATCCAGCTCCCTGCTAATGTCCCTGGGGAGGCAGTGGAGGATGGCCTGAGTGCTTGGGCCCCTGCACCCATGTGGGAGACCAGGATGGAGTTCCTGGCTCCTGGCTTTAGTCTGGCTCAGGGCCAGCCGTTGTGGCCATTTGGAGAGTGAACCATCAGATGGAAGATCTCTCTCTGTCTCTACTTTTCTCTCTGCCTTTCAAGTAAATAAAATATTTTTTAATAAGCCTTGATGTCGCTATGAACACAACCCTGGCCTTTCTCCAGGGGAATTTGCAGAAAAGCTGGATCCATTTGCTCAACTCAGCCAAGTTCCTGAGAATTCAGTGGGGGAGAAGCCCCATTCGGATCACTAGTTCTGCAGAGGCCGGCGTCCACTGGGCACCAGGAGTGCGGGCCACCGTACACGGAGGGATGGGCCCGTGAGGGGGGCTCCCGACCCCTGGCGCAGGGCGCCCAGCCCCAGGAGGGAAGAGAGAACTCGCCATCAGACAGTGGCGGTTTGCATCACGTGCAAGGGTGGGAACACCCAGAGCTGTGAAGCCAGCCCCGCCTCCCCATCAGCCCCACTGGGAAGGCAGGAATCCGGCAACCACCTGGCAGAGCCGCCAGCACATCGGATGGGAGCCCCATTCCGATCCGCCCAGTGCCCCTGGGCAGCCTGATGCATTTGGACAAGGCCACTTCCGGGAACGCCCACTCTTGACCTGACGCCCCGCCCCATTGGCTCACTCACTCGCTGACACCACGGCTGCCTCATGTGCTCACCAGTCCGGCCTTTGAGCCGCACATTGTGTCGCTCTGGCCTCCTCGCAGTCTACGCCCACGCACTTGTCACACAGACACAGGGTGTGTTCACAGGGGCAGGTGGCAGCCGCAGGCCTGGGCTGAGGTGCCCGCGAGCTGGCTGGGCCGCAGAGCCGGGCAATGCGTGAGCCCTCCCGGCGGCTTCTCCCGCAGGAAGCCGGAAAAGAGGCCCAGAACCGGGGGCAGCCGGCGGGCGAGCAGGTGAGGGAGGGGCTTCCGCTGGGCCAAGTCTGGGGCGACTTGAAGCAATGTTGGGGAGGGTTGTGGGCCCTGGCCTGGGACCAGCAGCGGCCTGGAGCTGCTGCCGCCTCCCATGGAGCCAAGTCTGTCCTGGAGCGGTCTCCTGAGCACGTGTACGCTTTGCTGCCTTCCCCACGTGGCGCGTGGGAGCCATGGACACAGGGAAGCAGCAGGTGTGGGGGGCAGAGAGAGGAGTGGCACAGCTCCTGGGGAGAAGGGCTCCTATGAACTCGTGAGTCCTGTGGCCAAGGACAGAGGGACATTTGTGGCCTCTTGTTGCCTGTCCCTTTGGGGCTCGGGGGAAGCCACAGGCCTCCGAGGAACTGCAAACCAGGTATGCCGTTGACCTCATGTGACCCCAGAGCCCTAAAGGGCCTCATCCCTGGGGAGGGGCCCTGGTGGCCAGAAGCTGCGCTTCCTGAATGATGAGCAGTAGCCTAGCCTTCTCTGTCCCCAAGGAAGCCGCACGTTCACTTATCCACCAAGCACAAGTGTGCTTGTGATGTCGGTTACCCAGGGTCCCACAAACGGCAGCTGGAAGACAACCACAGTGCCTCCCAGTTCTGGAGCCCCAAGGCCAAGCTCAAGGCGTCCAGGCCCTGCTATCTGAGACTGGGGTTGGAGTCCTTCCTGGCCTCTCCCTGGCTGCCGGTGGTGACCACTGGCCCTGAGCATCCATTGGTGTTCCTTCGATGTCTGCCTCTGTCACCATGGCTCCTCCTCCCTTTGTGTCTTCCCCCAAGTCTGCCCCTGCTTATGGGACGCCCGTCATGTTGCATCAGGGCCTTGTTTGCCCAAGATCCTACTTCCAGATGCATTCACAGGTCCTGGGGGTTAGGACTTCAACTTCACCATTCAATCCATCAGACGAGCAGGCGAGAGACCATGTGCTGAACACGCGACCCTCTCATGCATCCCACCACGGTCCTTTGAATGGGACACCTCACTCCCCGAGCCCCCCCCCCCAAGTCCTGCAGGGGGCTGGGGTCCCTGCCTTGGGGCTGCAGCCCCCTGAGATCCCAGGCTTGCGGGGAACCCTCCCCTCCCCTCCCCTGCACGCACCTGCCTGTCTCAGCCCTCTAGCAGGGCTCCTGCGCCCATCAGTCACCACCAGAAGAGCGGCGGGCAGAATAAATCTCACTTGGAAATTAATGTAGCTCGGGAGAAAAAAAAGGTACATTTGCTTCTTTTAACTTCTTGTCGCAAGACTCGTAAGTGAATAAATCCAACATAAATGTGAGCGGGACGGAGGAGAAGCCACGGCAAATGCAATGCCGTCGCCCTAAATGAAGACGGGCTCGGAGACGATATTAAGTTCCATCCCCAAAGGCTCGTACCGTTTCAGACCCGATTTCCACCAAATCGAGTTTTCCAGCCCAGCTAAGCCCCGCTTCTGCTCCTGGCCT